ATGTAACGATATTTGTGTTCTTCAGCTGCTCAATCGTTACCATAAGTCATTCGTGTTGCTGGGTTAGTGCATGTACAATCTTTACCAGTGGGATGACCAAACAAACTGAACGCAACTACAAAAACCTGGTCAACCACTGTTTATTTTTAGCTAGTTTACGGTGTACTTAGAAACATTGGCATGAAACTTGCCGAGGCAATTGGGACACTGAATTCCTGTTCGTACATTTATCTATTATGGAGGAAAGCCACGTACTACTGACACTTTTGTGGCTTCTAATGAAGCACAATAGTGATCATTACAACCCACCGATCGGTGGCTGTCAGATCAGCTGGTGAGCGCGCCTGGTTGCCCGTTTGTATTTTGCGCACAGGAATGGACTGTATTTTCAAAGCTGACACGTCCTTTCAAGCTCGACGAGTCGTGGAGTCGCGGGACAGGTGTAAGCGGCTGGGTCGTTTGCTCGGAAATTGCAACGAGGTGTAAAAAGGCAACTGAGCGATATGGAATACAAAATATCTAATAGCTGCCTCACTTATCGGTTGACAGCCGTGATTGCTGACTCGTGGTGCATACCTAAGAATTGAGCTTCTTTTGACAATACGTATGTTGAGGTGCGTCTCAAAAGTCGATAAACTGAGCTCATATGCTCCTGCAGAAAAGTGGGAAATCGGAGACGTGAATGTATATGGTGATCTGTACAGAATAAAGCTAGAAGTTGGTGTGCACTAAATGGCGCTGTTTCAGCGGAACCGAATGAGTGGAATCCCAAGTTTGTGTGATGAGAATTCGGTCAGTAAAACTGAGGTGATACGAATCGAGAGAGAATGCGACCGCACAGCAGTGTGTGTCCAACGTTACTAGTGAGTTCTAAAGTTCAGTTAGTGGGAGATTGTGGATAATCTGCATATCATCCGCAAATAGGAATGGGACACCATATTTAGTAACATGCTGTGGTTAACCTAAAACAGGAGAAGTAACGGACCGAACACACTTTCTTGGATAACATCATAGGCGAGTTGGCGTGGGTAAGAGTGGTGGTCATCTAGCACTACTACCTAGGATCGACCTCCCGTGTGTGATGGCAGCCAACCTAGCAGTGGGCCTGGACCCTGAGGAAGCTATCTTGATCGGTAGCCATTTCTGAGGCACCCTGTTAAATACCATTTTCATATCCAGGAATGAAATCATGATTATACATCCGGGATCGATAGAGTCTGGTGTGTAAGTTAAATAATGCAGCTGGCAGGTTCTTACTAAGCGGCTTTCAAGGAAACCATGCTGGGAGTTACTTATGAGGTGCCTTGAGTTTATGGGTTTCATCACATGTTTCTTACTAAATAATCCTAATAATCTAACGATTAAAGAACTATGATGGATGGGCAGTTAACATTTTTTCTGTTTTGGGCTACCATCATGGCAAGGGATGCCAAACGAAGTTTTCTATTGATATGAAAATTGGCTCGATTCCAGGGAAAATGTAAACAAACTCAGCTGAAGCAAGGCTATATCAATTCCCTCAGTTTTACGGCGGAAGGAAGAGTGTCATCGGCATCCATAATGCAGAAGGGTTTAATAGCATTCGTTGCCTCGCATTATGTACTATTTTTCAGTAAAGTAGTTGCCTTAGTTACTCACATGGCCAATATAATTGCCATGTGATAATCTTGCGGCGAATGTAAGAACTTACGACAACTCCTTTTAAATCAATATACGACAGGTGGAGTTAAAGAAAGTGCTGGATGGATTAATCAGTGTTTTGCATAATGCCATCGTTTTCATAACTTAATAACTGCCCTATCCATTGTTTAAAAACAAAAATAAAACAGTTCTTACTTTCGAAGCTTCATACAAAATTTCCCCTTCACAACTTTCCGAATGACAAGAATGGACAACATTTCGACAGGATGAGCCGGAATCAACCATTTCGCGTATGCTCTTCAGCTGCTTACATAGGATTAGTGGAATTGTTAGGTTTCATACGGAGAAATTCAGGATGTAACCTCATTGGTGAATCGAAAACGGTCAAAGTTCATCTAATGCAGGCCGGCACTCCGCTTAGGGGAATGTGGGCACCAGCCTAACCAAGGCAGGGCGATACTGGCGACGAACTCGGTCTATTTACATAAAGTGGGTTTCAGCAGCCCACTGGACAATCTAGTAGAATTACTTTGTTCGTCTTTCATGGGACTATTCGTTGGAATGTTTATAACAAATACCTGCGTCAATTCTTGAAATCTGCGAAATGACAAATTACTAGTGAACATAGGAAACTTGCAAATCTTTATCAAATCTCAGGTTGATGCTTGTGTCCAAAGCGTTGCCGAGTTAAACACCAGAATAAGATATGCCCAACATGTCGCAGATACTTTAAACTCGTGTGCCGAGTTAACTTGAACTTTCTCCGTGATGTACTTAAAGAAACACAATTGACAGCAACGCAACAACGGAACTCGATGTCAGTGCACTGTTTCAATGAGCAAATGTCAACTGAACTTGAGTGGAACGTGCTTAATTTGTCCTCTATCTCACTAAGTCGTCCCAACTTGAGGCGTTATCACTTGGTTTTAATTTGTCAGTACCATCGAGTAAAGGTGACAGAATGGGGATCAAAGCACAGATTGAAAACCTATACGAGCAATTATCCACTTACATCTGCTACTGATAACGCAAGCGACTGGTGTGAGGCAAAGGCAGTGGATCTGGCCAACCAATTTTGCGTTACCTACACGGAAAAGCGTAGACTCTTAAGCAAACACCACTAAGAGTCGTTAACGGAATTAAGACAAAATGCGAAGGTGGTAGTACTGAGACCTGACAGATTTACAGGACTAGTTATAATGGGGAAATATGATTATATTCGAAAAATATATACAATCCAAGCTGGCACGAGCTACTTCGTTCGCGATGCGACAGGTCGTGGTTGAACTGTACAAGTCGAAAAAGCGTTAGTTTGCGAGTTGAAAATGTTGATGAAGATTGGACTTATCGAAAAGCAAAATATGACACAGCTTCCCCCTCTTGGGTCTCGACTTTCTCGTATGAATGGACTATCGAATACACAAAAGGAAGGCGTCCCCATGAGTCCAATCCTTTCAATGGTCAGTACACCATACCAAAGTTGGCACGATGGTTAGCCGAACTTATTGTACATGTTCGGTGTGAACTATCCGGATACAGTCGCGAAGATATGTTCGAAGTTATCAACAGAATCCGAGATTTGCACGTAGAAGTGAAACATATCGTCTCGCTTGAGGTATGTTCATGATTCACAAATGTTCTCTTAAAAGAAATTCTGGATGCGATGGGTGTACATGCTGACAAGCTCGGGTTTCCAGCTCAGCATCTGAAGGAACTACTGCGATGGTGCACGAAGGACGTCCAGTTTAAGTTTAACGGCACCCTGTATCGACAAATGGATGGTCTATCCATGGGCAGTCCTTAGGCCTGCTTTTTTCTGAAACCTTCATGGACCACCTGGAAAACACCAAGTTCCGTCCTTACCTACAAAAGGTGCATTCATTTAGCAGCTACATAGATGACACTTTCGTCGTTGTAGACACAGCCGAGCAAGCGGATGACTTACTATTAGCTCTAAACAACTGACGCCCCGCAATGGAAATTACAGCTGAAAACGAAACTTCCGGTGCCTTCCAATTTTTTGATGTCAGCCTAAGTAGACACTCAAATGATGCACGCATTCGATCTGTATATGGCAAACTTATGTGGACAGAACAATACCTGAACTTTAACAGTTTCTGTCCTGTGGATTACAAACGAGCTCTGGTTTGTACTAATTTTACTGGAGCTCGCCAGATTGGCTCCGAGAAAACAATTAAATGTGAGGTGCAACGCTTTTTCACGATCTTACTTGAAAACTGATATCCTGAAAAGTTCAGAGCACGGTACACAAACGCGAAGGCGAAAACTAGGAGCGGACGAGTGCCCGACGCCCTCACGACAAAGTGTTCATAACGCTACCATTCAAAGGCGACCAAAATGACAGGAGCTTTCAATACCATCTCCTTTAATCTATACAATGTGTTATTGCGTCGTTGAGATTGTGCGTTTGCACCTAGTTAAGAAGTTACTGTTTACAATCGACTTAGAAAGGCCAGACACTCGAGTTACCGTTTTAATCACTTACCAGTTCCATTGTACTTGCTGTAGAGAGAACATCGGCCGGACGGAAAGGAGACTATCCACAAGGATTTTAGAGTATATTCCACGAAACCTAGTCGTGAATGGTCCGAAGCTGCCTGCCAGTTCGATCGCCCAACCCACAGTTGACTGCTCCATATGTGAAAACCCTCGTGAATCAGGTAGGATAATCAATCTAGAGAGCCATCCGCCTGCTTCAGTTCGCTGAGCTTTCGGCAATTAGGCGTCAAAACTCGTTTTGTGTGACTAGACCGAGTTCGTCGCAAGTCTCGCCCTGCCTTGATTAGGCTGGTGATCACATTCACCTTAGCGGAATGCCGGCCAGCATTAGATGAACTTTGACCGTTTTCCATTCACCAATGAGGTTACATCCTGAATGTCTCCGCATGAAACCTAACAATTCCACTAATCCTATGTAAACAGCTGAAGAGCATACACGAAGTAGTGGAATTCAGCTTATCCTGTTCAAAGGTCGTTCATTCTTGCCATTTTAAAACAATTGCAATGTAGGGAACAAACGGTCAACCATATTAGCATATGCGATGGTAGGGACATTCTGATACGATATACTTTAATACGTCATCCAACATAAAGCGCAACTGATCTTTTAGTATCTCAGCTTTTTCGCAGAGGTCAACTATCAAATGAAAGCCGACTGTTACATGGTTCGCACAGGTCATTTGACCTACATGTTGTCAAAATAACATCCATCTATTAAAAGTAGTACAAACAAACGGTGCCCCTGGTAACGGATTAGTTCGTAGCTAATGATATACAATATTTTTAATCATGCTTTCAAGTACCGGTTAGTAAACGTGCGAATCTGGTCATAAACTTACAGATGGAACACGGAAGGGTTCGAAGTGGAATGCCTCCAGTCCGCAGCAAGGATACACCAATTGGGATTTCAAATTTCTGAAATGATGAGGACTCGAATTTCAACTTGTGTTTCCATCCTACGTTTTCGACAAACTAACACAGTACCACTGTCTAATATTGTATTCCTATGTATCTCTTAAGCTTTGAAACAAACCCGTGTTTCTGTGGCGAATAAGATGGGAACACGCGCAGCGTTCCATGGTGTTATTGTTGAAAACAAAGTTCGTTATACCAATAAGTCGTCCACCTTAGTATCTTGGTTGCTGTGGCATCCGCTGGACATAAATATCCAAAAGACAAAAATTGTCTCGAAGAAAACGATAGGTATAGAATCTAATTCCCACTACGTCGGAGTAGTTATTAATCTGACAGCGCCCGGAACATTATCAACCGAAAAGTTAACAGTGTGCTTTTCCTGCTCATTAGCCAGATAGTGTAGCGGTCAGGAAAATCACCGGACGATCATTGTACCCTGCTGGAGTTCGTCACTGGTTGGCATTCCCTCAGTCCCCTACAAGGGATCGAACTCCTGCTCATGAGCAGTCGGTACAGCACGTGACGAAATGTGGTGCTTGTGCGGCCGGTTCCGAAAGTGTATGTTACTCCTGACACGGCAGTCGCATTCCTACTCTACTGTATAACTGCGAATTTTAACATGCTTGGCTACTGCGCTGGAGACTGAGATAGAAAACGGAACAGAGCTGCAACATATTGAATTGAGAAAAAGCAAAGTTATTCGAACACGATGATTTTGCTCTCATCCACTGGAAGTTTCGCGGAAACATTTGTGTCCATTGTGACGCTCCCTCCCAATTTGGACATTGTGCTAAGTCACTTGGAAAGGAGAGAAAATCTCAATCGCAAATTGGTTGCGTCCCAAGGATGGTGCCCGCGCCTCGTGCAGCAGAGGCTACCGTTGTCGAAATTGAAGAACTATGTATACATCTGCTTCACAAGTTACCTAGCAAGTGATCGAAATGAGCAAGGTTCACCAGGATGCGAATCGTAGTCCATGTTGAGATTGCATGTGGCAATCCAATCATACAACGAGTGCTTCCAAATGATCCATCAATGCAGCAATATCATTTTCTGTTCACCTGGGTCTTGTGGGATTGAATGTGCAAACACACCAAATGCACATACATACTGGACATTTTCTACTTGCGTACTATAAGGTACTATAGAAACGAACAATTGCAAAGCTTATTGGGAACACTTGGACCTACCTGCATTCACTCGGGCTTCTGCTTTCATCTGGGAGACAGGTAGCACCTTCTTCGGGATATCGGTTCAACGCACTGGAGTGCAACAAAGAAAGCTTGGAAACTTCGCCAACGTTGTAGGTAGGTTTCATGGTTTCATTGCACTTGGTGGCGTCACCCATCTGTGACCCAACTAAGTTACGTGGAAGTGGTTTCTCCGGGTGAAAGATGCAGCCATCCCCCAATTCAATGATTGGAAACTGTCGCCCACAACGGTTGCAGGTCTGCATGATCAGTGGGAAACCAAACGAACAACGCATGAACTCGGAAAGTGTGTGCAGACAAAAATTCAAAGGAATGTAAGATATCAACAGTATACAAGATTCTCATCCTAAAGCTTCGCTGGTGACCAATCGCTGGTGGTTATCTGAGGGCCGGCTTACTGCAAGACAGCCACTATCAACGCAATTTAGTACCGGGGGGTTATAAATTATGAGTCCAGTGACTGGGCCATTCAGCTACTGGTTCGTCATGTGAACTACTTCTTGACTGACCATGAACAAGGTCAACTTTGCGACCTTTCATAGCCTTATAGGCAACTTTGAGGTTGTTTGGAAGCCTTCCTTAGCTCACAGGCTACCAAGCGTTCAAAGTTACCAGGTTCAGGGACTTGGCAAAAATAATCACTTATAACAACTGTACTATGCAAGAGAATAAATACTGGTCCTTCGGTATACATGCTCGTGGGAGATACTGCGCGCCAGCCGATACCGTGATTTAGTACCTGTAAATTGATCGTTGCCCACAGACGCCAGTAGACCAGACGCCAGCTTTTCAGCTCAAGATACCAAGAAACCAACAAATCTGTTGCGCAGAAAATTCGGTTTGACTCTAGTGACGAAGAGGGATGTACGCTTCCTGTCCGGACTTCATTCAGACGGCTTGGAAATGAACTAGACAATCCAGATGGTGTACGTGTCAGGCTTCCATTCGTAAATGATATGTTGTCATAGTGGATATTGAATTCAGTGGCACAATTGGCTTGGGGCATATTCACTGGCTCACAGACAGATGTTGGCCATAAACGCTCATAGGCAAGGTTGGATTGCGTTGGAAGCGGCTGATGGACAGGGACTAGGTTACCCTCTTGAGTGACCACTCGTCGCCAAGGAAGACATGACACGCACTTAGCCGTAATTTGTGTCAGAAGTCGGTAACACCAAGCACACCTGCAGCAGAGTAAATGTGAACAGGGGAAGAATCATAGCCACGGGTCAAGCCATTGGATGTACAGGATGGCTGCATGATAAAACCATCATCAGACAACCGCGGATCGTTAACTCGAGGATTGCCAAACTGGAGAAGTGCATGCACCATGATGTACAACTAGTAAACAAGCGTTTCTAATATGATGTATCTATTTGTTTTGAAGTGTTATACGGGCAGTGAGAATTGGTGAATTTGTGGAAAGTGCAGCGAAAATCCTGCTACACAGAAATGAAGGATATGACGTTTGTTGTGGTTAAGTGGTAAGGAATGGAAAATTCATGCGTGTCTCAAAAGATGTACTTTAAAAAAGTCTTGCAACCTAATAACCAATGTTTGTAAACAAAGACGTACTATCTTCTTCAGGTTACCTTTGCGCTTGCTGCTTGATTTACAAACGGAACAGAACTGAAGACCCTGAGGAATTAGTTCAACCCGAAAGAGCATATGCCGTGTGGAGGCTACGACCAGATTCATGCAGTGTTTCAGCAAGTAATAACCGTAGCACGCAATGTCACCATTCGTTATTGGCTTGTTGATGCGGATGGTCCGAAGTAAACATTCACTCAATGAATCACAGAGTCAGCATTCATCATTCGACGTTAGCTCCAGGTGGCAAACCCCTCAGCTATTGTGCCGCAATACATAAGCAAAGAAAAAGACATGCAACCGAGACACGCCGGCTGAGTCACCAGTAACAGATGGACATCCTTCCGGAAAGCTGACAGTGCTATTATGCCGCAAAAAAGAGTTATATTATGCCTAATAAATGAGGTGACGTTTGGAGGGGTAGGCTAAGCGAGAGGGGGCGGGACAACGAAAATCACAGCATGAATGTCACTGAGGTCAGCTCCTAACCCCGCCAACAAGTCTATCCAGTAAAACGTGTTCACCGACTTTCGGACCTCAATCAGGGAGCCGAGACGCTCTAACCGGGGCCAACTTCGATGTAAGGGCCTTCATTTCTCTCGACCAGGTCATCATTTGGACGCCTCTTTTTTTTCTTCCATCCGCACTCCCGACGCGCAAACAACATACGTCGCGCGAGCCGGTGAGCTGGCATGCGTTGCACGTGGTCCAGCCATCGGAACCTGATGCGTGATGTATCGGTGATGAGCGATTCACTGCTTATTCCTGTGCCACAAACATGGCGTCGAACACGCCCGTTGGTCACGCGGTTTTTCCACCAGATATGAGCCAAACTCTGAAGGCACCAGTGGTCGAACTTAACTAGCATCCATATGTTGGCTGATCTGATGGGCCAGCTTTCACAACCGTACAGTAGTGTCGCAGGTACGGTTGCATTGTACACTCTTCGCTTCAAGGATAGAGGAATGTCGCACCGGTGCCATAGGTGCCGAAGTTTGGCAAATTGCCCCGAGCTTGTGCTATAATATGAATCAACGAAAGTTGAAATGATACAGTATCACTATCTTCGGAAGAAAGACATCATATTCAGCCAACAGAGTAAATGCTTAACAGCAGCGGGTGTTCACGTGTTTGTTACTGGTTCTAAGAAAAATATCACCTTGTCGCTGTCTTACGCACCCATATCCAGAGGCGTATGTCCCACGCCTTTACCAGCTAACCGCTAAACTCTACTACGTTAGGAAATGTCGTCCACCGGTTGTTTGTACAGTACTCTGCCCATATGAACTTGGCAAAAATAATCACTTGTAACAAGTGTCATTCGGTATACATACTCATGGGAGATACTGCGCACCAGCCGATACCGTGATTTAGTACCTGTAAATTGATCGTTGCCCACAGACGCCAGCAGATCAGACGCCAGATTTTCAGCTCAAGATACCAACATACCAACAACTCTGTTACACAGCTACTGGTTCTAAGGAAAAATCACCTTGTCGCTGTCCCACGCATCCATATCCAGAGGCGTATGTCCCACGCCTCTACCATCTAACCGCTACACTCTACTACGTTACGAAATGTCGTCCACCGGTTGTCTGTATGGTACTCTGCCCATACGGTCATCCATCTTCTCTGTGGCATGGCGGCGTCAGATGGGTAACTCTTCTCCAGACCATTGTCACCATCCAAACCGATATGATAAGACTCGCAATCGTTCAGTGACGGATCGCGGGATTCAGAATTCGATGGCGCTCTTCTTGTATACTCGCAAACATTTATACAGACAGACACACAAATAGACACCACAGATCCAGTATGCTACCGCTAACCTTGCAACGTTGTTTCATCTTCGTCAATCATTCGTGTTTGTATTGCTATGATCATGCCTATTCAGGCGTACCTTGTTATGTCGAGACTATACTATTCTTATTTATTTATAACTGCAGCCAATCAAAATATAACATAGTGCTTGGTTACATTTCACTGCTCATGTTCAGTTGCGCCTGAATGTTTCAGCTTCCAACTGCAAAAAGTGATATGGATTCGAGTTTTAGTGACTAGCAGCACCAGCCAGGTCGCACGATACAGAAAATTTGGGCCTACAAAAATCCACCCAGTAATCAAACTTACTGGAAAAGAAACGCGGCATTCGCTGGACATTCGTCAGAAGTATATTCCATTTCGAAAAGCTGGATGATTTTCATCAGAAACAACTTGCTAATTCCAAAGATGAGCAGATAGCAATGACCACCTCTTAATCTTGTCTTTTTTATCCTTAATTCTATCAATTGCACTGCCATTAAGTGATCGTGCAATCCTAATGTGAATGGAAGAGTTGAAGTTGATGCGCAACTTACCGCCGAAGTATACTATCCGTGAGGCAGCTAAACGAACAAGGACCAGCAATAATTGCGTTCATGTGTTCCAGAAAAAACGAGACACACAGTTGCAGCTGAATAAATGTTAGGACTCTCTGGTACAAGTGCATTTACCAGCCCTTCCATCTTTAGGAATTCAGATGAAATAAGCAGGGCAAGGACATTGGAAATAGTCAGACGGCAACTTTTAGATGCTTCTGGTTCTGTATACCTTTTAACGTAGCGCATCAACCAGTCAAACACACTGATATCGCAATGCACTATTATTTCAACTCCTTTGACGGAATCCCCGTCTTTTATGAGATAATCGTGGAAATACTCCATTTCGGATATCAAAAGATCGCGGTCGCATAGGAAGTCACGTTGTTCTTCAGATTCACAGGGGGGGGGAATTTTTGTTACCTTTTTTGGTTTCATCTTGTACGTGCACCGTGAGCATATTGCTCTCTCGGCGCATATCCTCGTCTTTTTGTACATGCTTAGACATAAGGGTACTCATCTCGAACTTTTGTTCCAAAGTGGTGGAATCTGAAGTTAGAATGCAGATGGTGCGCTGTGTTAAGGCACAGAATCTTTCAACTAGGGCTTTTTCGTCAACTATTTGCAGGACAGCTATGGGTTTACAAATAATCCAAGTAAAAACTTCCCACATCTCACCATATGTCGCCTTAAACCAACAGATCTGTATTCGGGGGTTTTCCACCTTTTTAGGAAGCTACTGTGCTTGCTGAAATCATCCATCTTTGTAGCGTTTCCGTTAATTGACAAGGGCACACACGTTTTAGACGGCACTAATCACCTCCATCTCATTCATCTCTACCATTTCATAAATCTTGTAGCCAAGCGCACAAATTCGTGTTACTCACACTTAATGAAGTTACGGTATCTTAAAATCTACTTCACAATGTAACGGTTCTTCCAGCCTTAGTCTACGCGAGCGAAGCCACCCAGGAATTCCTTCGTTCAAAGGATACACCATGAGGGGTCTAATTAGTTTGGATTTATAGGCAGTGGCTATATAATGGAGATAGTAGTGACAACGGTATTTTGACATGGTTAACCAGTATTGTTGTTTAACTTTAAATTCCCGTTTCACGAGTCTCAACTTCGAGTCACAAGATTGGACGAGCGCAGCTGGAAACCTTTATAAAGGGGTGAGTGCCGATATTGCTCATGTCACTACCCCTTGGGAGAACAAAATATGAATTAGTTTGGTAGCAAGCGGTGCGTCAAATGAAGCCGATGGGACCTCGTTTCGCCTAATGTGTGTCTGTCTTTCTATTTGTTCATGGGACGAAAGCTGATAAGAACAAAGGTAACACTTTGAATTTAGCAGACTCGGCCTTTTCATTTTTGGTGAGCTACGATCGATCCTCGACACTATGGGGAGAAAGGATGCACTAACATGCGCCGAGTTCAAACAGCACAGTTAAAGATTTTCTGTAATACGTCCCTTAATTTCCACCGTTCACAATTTACCATCCACATATTTCAGAATGTAACTCCGTGATTCAGTTCTGAGATCAGCGTTGGTAGGTTTTCAGAAGCATAACTTGTGAAGCACTCGCCTTCGGGTTAGTGTTCAAGCTATCCAGATTATTCTGGATCTACGGACCTCAGGATTAGTTCCAACCAGGCCACAGAGAAGCTGTACAATTTTGCTGCAGTTTGTACCAATAGTGATGGTTGCTGCAATGCGGCTGTTGCTTGTTGCTGGTTGCGGAGCTCTGAAAGTTAACAGATAAGTTTACACTGCACTCTGTGGGTTCGCCGCCCGAAGAAACCATGACACTGTTAGTCCGCTTTATCTCTAAGAAAAGCTGTTATGATAAAAATCCACTTGAAAAACACTTATTCCGTTGCATTCCATTGTATGACACTCTGAGCCTATCGTTTGGCGGAGTGTAAGGACTTACGGCTTTGGACGAGTAGTCAATGCCAAATCACGCATAAATTTCCAAGACTCTACTTTTCCCACTGGGTGGTCTATTTTGTATTGCAAAAAGGAAAATAAGAACAGCTGTGAGCATGCCACTTAACTGTTTGTCCCAATGGTTGGTTCATATTAGGTTTACGGAATTGAAACTGTTGCCGTTTTTGGCTTTCAAAACAAAGCAGGTTTCAGTTTGCGTGCTTTGCCTTCTCATGATCATGTGTGTTGTGTGGGTTTTGTGATGTTGTGTAATAGGGCGAGTGCATTATCGACGCGATCATGGGACACCGCAAATGTAGGACAGAAGCAAGGGATTCTAGATTGGCGTTCTAAGTGCGACAAACATGTGGCAAAACGAAATTCCGACGAACCTCCAAGCGGCTGTATTGCTAGAATAAGTTGTGATGGTTGCTGCTCAGATTGTCATCATAAATGGGCTTTAACATTCCGCGCTACGTGTGCTTGAGGACAATTACAACTTTGTAACACAGTGTAAGGGCAACATGAAGAAGTCGATTTGGCTCAATGAGTACCCTTAATACTCTCAGTTACTGTGCGATACATATTGGCCTGTTCATTGAACATTTCTGTGTTTTCGTCCATAGCTAGCACACTTGAAACAACCCAAGAATTTGTAATCGGATCCATCGTATGGTATCAGTCCACACACAAACGATAATTCATAAGTTAAAGAAATTTATTACTGCAGAAATAAGGCAAATGTTGCATGATGATAACATTCCGATTGTTTAGCAAAGTCATAAGCATAATAAATACAAACTATAAACGAATGAGTATACGTAAAACTAACATTCATGAACAGGATGCAACAAAAGAATAAACACCATAGCAATATACTAGATCGCCGCAATTGTTTCTGTGCGCACAGTGTTGAACGATTCTTCGGGATCAACAGTGTTTCGCCTATAGCCAACCGTTTTGGATTCATATCCCTCTGGAGTATTTCGAAAGCGGTCGATATGTCCACGTGATTACTAGTCTTCACGAGATGTTTTGGGTTCGATGAAGCAGGGTTCCGCTTTATCGCCTGATACACTCCGTCCTTTTGCTCCACTTGAGAGGTGCTCGGCCACCCTTTGGGTCAGCCGCCGGTCAGTCCTGCCAATGTATCCGTCTCCGCAACTGCAGATGAACTGGTAGATTACATGAGAGGCCAGAGTATCCGACACCTCAACCGGATGGGGGTGTAGCACTAGCCTCTGAGTGGTATGTGCGAATCGCAATTGGGCGGGTGTGTAAGTGCGTTTCATAGCAGACCTGAGTTCGTGTCCAATATCGTTCGCGGTCTGGCCACCTTTGAGTGGCAAGAACAAATAGACAGGCTTTTCTCAGCCATATATACGAGTATCATTACTTTTGGTGTTTTGCTATGGATCTGGATAGACATATCCGGATACGCATTGGACAGTAGGGTCTTAAGCAAAATGCCTTCTTCAGCTTTTAGTGTCTCCGCACTACTAATTTGCCTGGCCCTATAGAAAAGAAATTTTCACAAGGCCGCGTTTGTGTGCGACAGGAACAAAGCTAGTAAAGTGGAAGCATTCCTCGCTCCAGGTCACTTTGCGTTGTACAGTGCTCTAAAGTGTACCATTGATTCACCAGTTGATGATATGTCCAAAAACGGGAGGCTATAGATGTATTGAACATTTTCGCGTGTTCAAGAAAGTGATAAAGGTTTATCTGTCAACGGACAGAGTGAAATGGATCTTAAAAACTCAACTTGATGATGAAATGCTGTATGAAGAAGGGCCGGATCATATATGATACCGGAGAACATCGAAGAGAATGCACTAGAAAAAACGTGATCATCTAGGATGAGCTGCTACAAACCGCTTCTTATGCTATTCTTTAATGTTACCTCCTATGCGGTTTTACTCCTTTCAAAGTTAATTCATACTAACTGTCTTTTGTTTAAAACTGAGAGCAAAATTCTTTGCTGGTGTGGCGTGAGAAACTATTCTCGCAATTTTCCCCACAAATTGATTAGTTCGTAATATTGTTCTGCCATCCCCTTCGCTACATCTGTTCTGCAGTGCTAATCATTTCCCCTTCTTTCCTGGAGTTAACAGTTCAGAAACATATATTTGAAGTCAGTGATGGCAATAACGGATTTCCTATTTGAGTTTTAGCCTATGGACAACTCGTACAGTTATCGGTCTCCGGCTGTCACGCCACACAGTTTGATCTTATGATAGACTCGATCCATTTTTTTACGCTGATGTGAAAGCACACCTGCCTATATTTTACATTAACGATATAGTACCTCTTTCACATAATTCTTTTTTTCTACATTCTTCCTTATTTCATTGTTGGCCACGACTGGACGGATCTCTTGTGGTGACGGATTATAGCTACCAGCTTATAAAAGACTTCACCTATGCAAGGCACATTGTCACAAATTTATTGGCGTATGAAAAATTGCCATAATTGAATGATCCGCATGACGGACTGGGCTGAGGCTTTATCGCTCATAATACATGTTTAACGCAGCCCTAAAAAGAACACAACATATGATAAACAGGTCATGGCACATATGCTACTATGCCACATATGCTACTATGCCACACCGGCACACGGTCAGGTATAGCATGAAAGTGCGGGCGAAAACTTTCGAGGGAATACCTTGCACGGAAGCAGGTCCCCTGGGGAGGGTTCCACGAGTGACCGAATTACTTTAACTGGACATCAGTTTAAATCTGCATAAGTTTTTGTTCCTGGTTTTTTAATTTCTTTAATACCTTAATTCTGCCAATTAATTTAATACCTGTTTTGGATCCATCGTAAAAAGCGTGAACAAAATGATTACTTTTTGCCATGCTGTTGTACACATTGATCAGACCGCAAAGTTGGATTGCACCTCTAATCACCGAGAAATATACCATTTATGTATTTATATTGCTCCATCTAGTAGGATACAGATAGATTCTGGTGGATCGAATTCAAAAGTGCTAAGAGACGAGCGAAATGATCGCTGCTGGTGAAGGTCACGACATCATCCACATAACGTTTGTACAACTTTGCTTCAGCAATGCTGGTGACGATGTTCCTTTCTGTTAATCCCAAGAAAATGTCTGCCAAAACGAGTCC